TCTCTCTCTTTCTCTCACAGACTCAGAACAGGGGTCAGCGGTTGAAAGAGGGGGCTCACATCAACCGCTCCCTCTTGGCTTTGGGCAACTGCATCAATGCCCTGAGCGAAAAAAATGGCACCAAGTACGTCAACTATCGAGACAGCAAGTTGACTCGCTTACTAAAGGTACAACAGTTATTAGAGTTCGTAAGACACCCGATCCAAACCTGTGTTTTACAATTCGCATCTAATTTTCTCCTTCTGACTTCTTTGATTGACAGGACTCGTTGGGCGGGAACAGCCGAACGGTCATGATCGCCCATATTAGCCCCGCCTCTGTGGCTTTTGAGGAGTCTCGAAACACGTTGACGTACGCTGACCGTGCCAAAAATATTCGAACACGGGTGAGATCATGTTTTAGCTTCTCTCTGCTTTTACTGATTCATCGGAAACCAATACATTTAAATTTACTTTACCTTAGATAACGTTCTCTGTGGATAGAGAGTGAGATTTGATAGCTTAGTATTACTGACTGTAAGACATTTACTGCCAATAAAACTGATCCAGGTGCAGTATTTCAAGTATTTCTTAGATAGTATTGTCGTTAGAAAATTTTCAGTGTGAAATTTGAGACCTGTGAAAATATTTAACCGTTTTTCTTTGTCTTTTTTGTCCTTGTGTGTTTCAGGTTAAGAAGAACCTGATAAATGTGTCATACCACATTGCTCAATACACCAACATCATCTCAGACCTGCGCTCCGAGATCCAGCGGCTCAAGAAAAAGATTGCAGATCAGGCGAGCCGCCAGGTCAACTCAGACCGGGCCGACATCCGCAACGTCCAGGGTAAAGACTCTCCCACTCTGCCTCCTGCAGGACACGAGGACAATCTGTCAAATGAAGGTGTTTATGACTGTTTGTGACTTTTCATCGTGTTTTACTTCCACCCGTAGCTGAAGTCCAGGCCCACTCCACCCAAAGTCGGGCAGAGATGGACCAGTTGAGGGAGCAGCTCCTGGACGCCTTCCGTCAACAGATGGAGATCAGGAAGAGCCTGATGGAGCTGGAGAACAGCAACATGGCGCTCCAGATGGACACGTCCAAACACCTGCTCACCATTGCAGAGTCAGTGTTTTTAGTTGTTTTGCTGAAATATTGAAAGGTTGATGTTTTGCATGGATCTTTTATTCCAGCTCTGGTCAACAGTTTTACCTCTGATCAGATTTAAATTAGTGTGGATGGAGTATTAAGCACCTGGTAACCATAGCAACTGCAGTTCTGCTTCTAGTTGAAGTCAATGGACTCCCCTCGAAGAGAAACAGACCCAAACACGTGTTTCACTGACCACAGACAATCTTTAATAATAGATTATCCAGACCGTGTTCAAAACTCAAATCATTATGGCAGAGCTGTTAACTATAAATCAGGTTTCTTGCCTGTTAAAATGTAGATTCATTATTTTTCTTCTAGCTGGGAGCAGGAGAGGAGCAGGCACAGGAGGAAGTGGCGTGCAGAAAGGAGAAAGGAAAGTGTGAATAAGGATGAAAGCGAGAAGGACTCTGACTCCTCTGAGTCTCCCCCTGACAGCAATGAGACCCAGGAGGTGGCGATTGCTCGAGACAATCTGGTCACACTCATGGCCGAGCAGAAAAGAATTCACAAACAAAAGGTAGAGCTGGTTGGAAAAATTCAGAGAAATCTTCTTCCAAATTCAAATCCAGAAATCTAATTTGCTCCTTGTTATTTTTTTCCTCCTAAGGCGTTGCTCGAGCGCAGGTTTCTGGAGCTTCGGGATCGAGCTCGTCGCCTGGAGGAGCTGCTGCCTCGGCGTGTGAGCTCAGAGGAGCAGCGTGAGGTGCTGGGCCTCCTCTGCAAGGTCCACGAGCTGGAGATCGAGAACGCCGAGATGCAGTCACACGCGCTGCTCAAGGACAACGTCATCCGGCAGAAGAACTTTGTGGTGCAGCGCTTCGAGCAGCACAGACACCTGTGTGACGAGATCATTCAGCAGCAGAGACAGTTCATTGACGGTGAGACTGACCACGATAGACCTCGACGTTATTTTCAGTTTTGGTTTAGTTTTTGTTTCAGGTTTAATGAATTTGTGGTTTACTGAATCATACGTGTGCCCGTGTGTTCCAGACCACAGTCTGCTGGTGCCCCCCCACCTCCAGGAGCTGTATGATATTTACATGAGGGAACTGGACGAGAGGAAGCTGGACAGAGCCGTGGCCCTGGACAAGGTCACCACCAGACACACCATCAAGGTAACGCACCATCAGTCACCCAAGTATAACAAATCCAGTTATAAAACTTAATGACCACACAATTAAAATTGACTGATCAGCCCCAAAGGGTAATAATGTGGAGATACTATCCCAGGTAATATTCCCACCATGTTTGGTTAAGAACCATCTGTGCATGGTGGAGTTATTTTGTACATAGACACACACACACACATATAATGACTTATAAAAGCTCTGCTCTCATTTCCAGGAGGGCTCTCTACCTAAGATCACGCTGCCCGGTCAGGGTCGCGACAACACGCAGGACGTGGACTCAGACCAGGAGAGTGTTCGCAACATGTGCCCCGATAACAGACGAGGCCAAGCCAAAATCCGGAGACACACTCTGCCCCCCATTCTGCGTGAGCCTGAGCTGTAAGAGAGACGATATTAAAGAGAGCATCGTTATAAATTTTCTAATGAACAAGTCCACTTCAGGTTGTGTTATTTCTGCTTTCTCCTCCGTTTCAGGGACAATAACAGAGTTTTTAAGAGCAGCCCTCATGCCAGGCAGATGAAAAACTCGGCTGTGATGACCCCACCTCCCATCCACATTAACAGAAAGGGCAACAGAGAGGTGAGGACGTCTCTAATGAGCTGGTTGTCCCTGTTCCATTTTAATATCCCTGAGAGATGTTTCCTGCTGTGAGTTAATGCAGTCTAGTCGAGCGCTGTGGCTCCTCTTTGAATTAAGCTCACGCAGATGTTTCACAGCGGTGCACCTTTTCATTTTCAACCCACGCACCTCCACAAAATACAGTCCAGCATACATACAGTAATACGTCTTCACTCTCAGTTCTGGTTTTCAGGGTTTTTACTCAGCTTTTTTGGCTTAAAACCTCCAGAGCAGCAGAATTACAGTTGATTTTTCGCAGGCTTGAAATAATATTACACCCATCTTATTTT